AGTTTAAGTGGTGTATGTGTATGTTAGACTAGTTTAAGTGTTTATGTATTTAATAAAGTCTTACTTGTATCACACTTGACGTTGTTCATTGTTTGCTCATAACTGGAGTCACTTAATCATGCAGATTTATGCTACAAGCTCTTTGTAGAATTGTACAGTAAGAAAGTTATTTCCCTTAACCAGGAAATTAACGTTCTTAGAATTGACAGACAGTTGACCCTGAGAGGTCAGCTAAATATCTACAGCGGATCTAAATATTTATAATGAATTATAACTAGTTATGATTAATTATTCATATTTCCCCATGAGCTGATTCGCTACAAGTATATAAAGTGGGGAGCCAGTTTAAAGCGAGTACATGACAGTAATGTGTCCAACTTAAATATGTACATCAATTTCAGGATGTGGTGCATCCTAGGGAATAATCACTTTGGATCTAAAATAAACTGCTTTCAAAATATGGCTTTCCAAATAAAAAAAAGTGGTCTCTTGGCTTAACTTGCCCCCCAGTGCGGGGTAAATTGAGCTTACAAAAATCTCTTTGAAACTAAATGTAGTTACCAGTTATCCCATGGGCCTCTCTCCATCACAGGCTGAGTAAATGGCTAAATATTAATATATTTGTGCTCACATCAACAATTTTGTTGCCTAGTAACAACTTCCCCAAAGGCTCAGATCACCTCGCTCTCTCCTACTGACTTTCTGTATAGCGTCTGTTACATTTAAGCTGTATTTTTGTACGTTTGTAGCTTACTATTTACATTTTAATGAGACCTAACTTTTGCTGAAGTCCTTAAAAACAAAACAAAAAACACCTGTTATCATAAATATAGCAATCTTTATTTTACAGCTGCTTTTATTAAAAAATCAGAGCAATGTTACAATCAAACCAACAGTTTGTTATGAGTCAGAAACGGGCGGTTTTTACATCGACTGAATGCGTATGTCGTGTGAGAAACAACAAAGATATCATCGGACATTTCCATCTGCAAGATTTAATGAGTGCTAAAACTCGACACTACTCAGCGAGACTGAAATACTTAGATTCTTGGCATTTCTGAGTTTTAACGTCTGAACATTTCAGACAGAGCAAAGTAAAACAGAGTGAATCTCATCAAATCTGTCATATTTCAGCTCTAAATCAAAATAAATTATATTTAGAAACGCATTTTAGGGCTATATTATTTCTTTGACAAATAAGCCTAATTCTTAGTCACAAAAAATGGTAACTATTATTTAAATTGTGCAATTTTAAGCACATAATGGCAGCATTTATTGCACTTTTATACTGATTGTAATATTTAAAAAATGCATTTAAATTGTCGGTTAAATAATGCGCTTAAAATGGCTTTTATTGTACTTCTAAATATATTTTCTTATGTTTTTCTTTTCATTTTAGTGTGCAACGTGACATTGTGAGATTCACCCAGCAGGCACAGCGCGAGACACGACGATCAAAATCAATGAAAACAACACAAATTTAATTCAGGGGCGAACCGATAAATGAAGTGCTTTCGATCGAAAACCGAACAAAGCATCCTTCAGAGAAACTGTAAACCAGCCGAGCATGAAACGGAGCGATGAGGGGAAAATACGGCCTGATTATTTCACAAAGACGGCGCTGAAACACAAACATCCGATGTACGTAAACAAGTGAACGGGAGAATCATTATTAGCAGCCACAAGATCGTTGATCTGACTTCACTCGTTTAATCGTGAGAGCGAGTCATTAAAACGATAATACAGGCCCCAATGCATCATGGGTACTTAGAGCGGAAAACATTTCCAATCTTCTTAAAATAACGACCTAAAGAAAAGTGACCTTTCGGAAGTTCGTTCATTCATTCGTTAGTTTGTTCATTTACTCATTCGTTGGAAAAGAAGAAACTGCGTTAAAGAAACAGTTCACCCAAAAACAAACAAACAAACAATTTTATGCCATCCCAGATTAGGATGAGTTTGCTCGGTCATCAGATTTGGAGAAATGTAGCATTGCATCAGTGTCTCAGCAATGGAAGTGAATGGGTGCCGTCAGAATGAGAGTCTGATAAAAGCATCACAAGTAATCCACAGCACTGCAGTCCATCAGTTAACATCTGGAGAAGACAAAAGCTGAAACTAATCCAGCATTAAGACGTTTTGAACTAAAATACATCGAGTCCATAATCCATAATAACTCTTCCTCCAGTGAAAAAGTGTTCTGAATCAGGAGAGAAATCTGCACAGATCAAAACGTCTTAACGTCTTCATTAACTGAAACTGACACACTCACTCACTCACTCACTCACTCACTCACACACACACACTCTCAAAATACAAAAAATATTATTGAACAAAAATATATTACACTGATTTTACTGAAGAAAAAAAAAAGTTACATTTCAGGTGTCCGGTCACTTTTGACCGCGAAGACCATGAGTGTGACTCCCGAATGAGGAGCGCACATGGGTTTTAAAAGTTTTGTTTACAAATCAGTTGTTACTTTGAATCTTTAATAGTGTCGTAGTAGCGTAACTGACAGGTTTCCCTCTACAGTTTACAGAGATTTTATTTCCCGATGTAGAGCAGCTGATATATAAATCCAAATGAATTGAGAACCGAATCGAATCGTGTCTGAACTGTGTTTTGTGGAGGTCCGGCGGCGGCGAGTAACCATCACCCGGAGTCGGACTACAAGAACAAGGACTGAGCCTTCATCAACTACACCTACAAGCGCTTCGAGGGCCTCACAGCCAGAGGAGCCATCTCCGCCTACATGAAGAGCGGCAAGCCATAGAGAAAAATCCCCAAAACACCACCGAAGAGATCCGCTCCGTGTGCACCAACACTGCAGCGTTTTCTCTTTTCACTCACGCTTGAAGATCATCTTCTGAAACGCTTTTGTGGGCAAGTTTCAGCAGATCTAATGTCAAAACACCTACACGTCTCTATAAACAACGATAGCTCTTCTGAAGATGTTTAAAGGGCCATGAGACCCCATTTTAGCAGAGGTGTGCTTGTGTTGCACATCATAGAAGACAATGTTAGCATCCGATATTTTTAACTGTTTGAGAAACCTGCAAACCACGGGTTGTAAACCTTTCAATTCAATAGTAGTTTCACGTAAAAGACTCTATTTCTCATTTAGCATGCAGTGCATCATTTTATATTGATATTTAACCGTGAGCCGTTTTTGTAATGTGTGTTTATATCCTTGTTATCTTCTGTTCATTTCCAGAAGTGTATTTTAAAGTTTATAAATATATGCAATAAAAATGTTACATGATTTTTAATTGTGTAAACTTTTTTGGAGTAAATTAACAAAGATACAAAAATTTTTTGGGAATAATTAAAATGTTTTAATGTTTTTGAAAATCAAACAGCAAATCAGCATATTAGACTGATTTCTGAAGATCATGTGACACTGAAGACTGGAGTAATGATGCTGAAAATACAGCTGCGCATCACAGAAATAAATTACAGTTTAACAGATATTCACATAGAAAACAGCTGTTTTAAATTGTAATAATATTTCACTATTTTTACTGGTTTTATTATATTTTTGATAAAATAAATGCAGCCTTGGTGAGCAGAAGAACAACACACACACACACACAAATCTAAATTATTCCAAACTTTTGCAGATGCTTTTATTCAAAACTACTTACAAATGATAACAAAAAAACAAGAAAATCCTTTATAAGTGATATTTACACTATTTTACTCTATCTTCTACACATCATCTCCTTGCTCCTTGACACTAGATGGCGCCAACAGACAGAAAATCCTCACTAAAATGATTTCTAAAGTAATGCATGATATCTTTAATAATCTAAAGCCCTTAAAAAGTGATTAATTAAGTTATTGATTAAGCAAATATTGTTTATCCAAAGCTAGGTGCAGTGCAGTAATGGCAAAATCTTGCTCAAGGACACAACGGTGAAAAGATCTCAAGTACTTTTAAGTTCAAAGGTCATCTATCTGAACTATCCATCTAGACTGAACCAGTGGCCCGGATTAAATGAGTCAAATGTGTATATGAATATGAAATGAGTGGCTGAATATTAATGAGCGAATAATTATATCCTCATGATTATGAATGAGTTGAATGATTGTCCAGCGTTCCAAATCCAACAGTTTAATCCATCAGTCATTGGTCGAGACTGGGAGGGGCGGGGCCGTTCAGCCGATCTAACTCGTCGACCTGCGGAGTGGGCGTGGCCCCGTCCCGCGTAGGCCCCGCCCCCATGGCGGTGATGAGGCTCGGGACGCTCCTGCTGCGGACACACTGGAAGTCCACATGTCTGTTCTTCCCTTCCTCTTTCTCCCAGGACAGCTGGATGAAGGGACGCTGGACGTAGCTGTAGATGACCTCGGACTTGCCACCTGGACGCCGCTTCACCTTCTCCTTACAGGTGTGGGGTATCCTGAGACGCACAACAGAGTCAGGTTGGGCTCTGGAATTAAAACATCATATATTTTGTCCGTTCTAACGATAACTTAAACCTTTAAAGTGTTGCTTGTTAATCAACATGCTTTTGTTTTAGCCATCAGTTAGCAATCATGCTTAACAGTGGAATTTGTGGCGAAAAACTACATTACCCATAATGCAGTGCAGAAATTCCACCAATTAGAGAGTTGGGGCAGCAAATTGCGTCAAAAAAAGCTCTTTAGCTCCGCCCACTCCCTTGAAGCCCCTTTGCAACCCTACTTAAATACATATATGTATGCAAATTTTGCATTAATATATTGTTTTTCTAGATGTAATCAACAACTTTAAATGAATAGTTTCATATTTCTCCATCATTTTTAATTCGATTTATAACGTTTGCAATGCTTCACGTGATTGTATTTATTTTCCCTCATTGGGTTCACAGCCTTGTACCTTTGTTTTGTCCAATTTTCAAATATTTTTCTGCTTCAAATAAAAGTTTGTAATGTTGTTATTCTCTCCCTAGCCTTTTGGTTTGGTTCATGGCATATAAAGGTTTAACAAGTCCAATTTAAAAATGGAAAAAGTGGGCGGGACTAATGCACTCTGTAAGGTTTCGTGGTGCGTTTGAGCGTATCGTATCTCTCAAGGTTCGAGTCTGTGTGTGTGTTTACCCTCGATCCCGATGCGAATGTTTTTTAGGCCTCGCTCCTTCAGCAGAGCTTTCGCGACGTCTCTGTTTTCGATGAACTTGAAGAAGCGGTAGAGTTTGGTGCTGTAGATGACTTGAGGAACAAGAGAGCGCATTTTATTTTTGATATTTAGTTGTTTTGGCACTATCAATGCGTGCGAATATTCCTACTACTATATGTTTTGCGAAGAACCGTTTGCAAATGAGTAGTACATCTGAATTTGTACTATTCAAAAATAAAAAAAATAGGTGAAAAGTAACTGGACATCCTACTACTTCGGTCAAAATTTGTGAACGGACACAAATTACTTTGTAGGTCACATGGCAGATATAGAAAGTCTAAAGCTGCGTCCCAAATGACGCACTATGCACTCATACACTATGTACTTATGCACTATGTCCTCAGTCATGTAGTGCATTAATTATATAAGGTTATTTTGTCATTCATAATAGGAGTCTGATAGCCCCTCCCCCTTCGCTACGAAATTAAAGCTGTGACCGTTGAGTGCATGAAGTGTCCAACATTCCACACTTCGTTTTTTCGGTTATTTAAGTGCGTCATCCGAGTATTTAAAGTGCACTGTTTCTTTTTGGAATTTTCAGTGTGAACGCACTACTCGCACTATTTAAACTAAAAAAACGTCATAGAATAGTGCATAAGTACGCGATTTGGGACGCACCTTAAATTTCCCATATTTACTTTTTACAGTGTATAAATACACACACATGCATGTATATATTTAAGAAAAATGTTACGTTTATATATTAAATATATTTATATATGATATAATTTATATGAATATAAATATATACACGTAAATATTTTCAAAATATATGCTGTATGTGTGTGTCTTTATATATACATAATAAATATGCACAGTACACATACATATATTACGTAAACAAAAACTTTTATTTTGGATGCGATTAATCGCGATTAATCGTCTGACAGCACGAAATAAAACATACGTTTTTAAAGGCCGTGAAGTAGGTTTCAAACCAAATGTACCTAATAGACCATTTCGGACGCAGCTTGTGTCTAGATTTTTCAAGTTTTCGTTCTCAATTCTTTGCGTTAATAAAAGTGCGCTCACGCTGCGAGTTTTCCTCTCCCATCGGCGGGATATCACAATAATCCACAGCACTCCAGTCCATCAGTTAACATCTGGAGAAGACAAAAGCTCAAACAAATCCAGCATTAAGATGTTTTTAACTAAAATACCAGTCCATAATAACACTTCCTCCCGTGAAAAGACACTGATGCAATGCTGCATTTCTCCAAACCTGATGAAGAAACAAACTCATCCTAATCTCGTATGGCCTGAAGGTGAATGTTTTAATTTTTGGCTGAACTATTCCTTTAATTTTTTGTGTTCAGTACCTCCCAAGCACGGTATCCGGGTAAGTTGTGAATACTGCAGGATCCACCACAAAATGAGTCCTGTCAACTACTAATGTGACCTGGTCATGCGATAAAGGGCGTGGTTGTGCAGGCCACGCCTCCTTTGTGACATAAGCCCCGCCCTCTGCTCCTACAGTCATTCTGCGGTCTGTAAATTGATACATTTAAATACTTTTTGAGATTGTAGAAATTAGTTTTTGGTTCTGGAAATGGGGTTTCAGGTTTACCTGATTGGGACAGGCATGTGCCGCCTGTTGCGTGCTCCTCTGTCATGATCTTCTGGACACCCGCAGAGCTGTGAGACGCTCCATATGGTGAAGGTAATATTATAAACTCCTTACGCCCGTCTGACTGGCCCACACTGGCTCATGGGTGCAGCTTAACCCCACAGACACCCGGTAACCTGCTCCAAACACGGTTATTCAGAGCAAATGTGACCCATTTAAATACACCTCATCTGTTTGTTCTTAATTAAACTGCAAACCAGAGTAATAACACCCCCCTTATGAAAATTAACCATGATTATGTGTATTGATTTCCATTTGTATAACCACAGTTTTACTACAAATACCATGCTTTGGTACTGAATGCCATATTCAAATGGTATTCAAGAGCATTTCATTAAATTACTATGGTACACGTCCAAAGAACTTTTTTGTTGTGTTACAAGGGAATAAACCAATTTATATTATATGCAAATAACCAACGACTTAAAGAAATTGTACATTTCTAACAAACTAGTATTCCACTCAGGAAAGTGAACACTGTGTAGTTTACAATTAACCTATCGCATTTTTGTTATAGAAATATATATGTGAGCCTGCAGCACAAAAGCAGTGTTAAGTCGCTGGGGTATATTTGTAGCAATAGCCAACAATACATTGTATGGGTCAAAATGATACATTTTTCTTTTATGCCAAAAATCATTAGGATATTAAGTAAAGATCATGTTCCATGAAGATATTTTGTAAATGTCCTACCGTAAATATATCAAAACTTAATTTTTGATTAGTAATATGCATTGCTAAGAACTTAATTTGAACAACTTTAAAGATGATTTTCTCAATATTTAGATTTTTTTGCACCCTCAGATTCCAGATTTTCAAATATTGTCCTATCCTAACAAACCATACATCAATGGAAAGCGTATTTATTCAGCTTTCAGATGATGCATAAATCTCAATTTCAGAAAATTGACCCTTATGACTGGTTTTGTGCTCCAGGGTCACAAATGTAGATTTCTATGTTAATGAAGCTATAGAATATGTGTTACTCACCGGAGAGTCTGCCATGAAAACATTCAGAACCGTCCTGCATGCAGGTCCCGGAGACTCCATACGGTGCACACGGATTAACCAACGTTAATCCAATAAAAGCACAGATCTCTGAGGACCAGGAGAGCTCAGAAACGTTCAGTCATCCTATATAACATCCTCTGCTGGGGGTCTCCAAACTGGCTCCTGAGGGCCGCTGCCCTGCAGAGTTCAATCAAACACACCTGAACCAGTTTAGTGTTTGATTAGAGTTGGAGTTAAAGCACAGCGGCCCTCAGGAGCCAGTTTGGAGACCCCATGATTCAAATTAACACACGTTTAAAGTGAGAGAGATACACACACATGCATATTTAAAATAGAATATATGTAACAAATTAGCAAACAAGTTTAAAGATGAACAAATAATTAGATGAATTAAACATTTTTTTTTAATGTAGCCTATTTTAATGGCAAGAACAAGGTAAAATCAATACAAAAATAGGCATATAAACAAATTTATAAACATTTAAAGGGAGATTAAGAACAGATATCAGAAATCAGATGAATACAATAATAAGATGACAAATGAAATAAAAGGTGAAAAAGATAAAGAAAGGTCTATTTTCATGGCAAGAGCAGGGTTAAGAAATATTTTTAACAATGTACCGTCACTTTTTATTCGTGCTGAATAAAACTATTTCTTTAAAAAAACAAATTGCTGACCCCACACTTTTGAACGCTTGTGTATATTGTTACAAAAGATTTCTATTTTGAACAAATGCTGTTTTTTTTTAAACTTTTTATTCATCAAAGAATCCTGAAAAAATCTCACAGGTTCCCAAAAAATGTATTAAGCAGCAGAACAGTTTCTAACATTGATAACAAATCAGCATATTATTATGATTTCTAAAGATCATGTGACACTGAAGACTGGAGTAATGATGCTGAAAATACAGCTGCGCATCACAGAAATAAATCACAGTTTAAATTACATTCAAATAGAGCACTGTTATTTTAAATTGTAATAATATTTCAGATTTTTTCTGTATTTTTGGTCAAATAAATGCAGCCTTGATGAGCAGAAGAGACTTCTTTAAAAAGTAATAAAAATCTTACTGATCCCAAACTTTTGAACGGCAGTGTATATATATATATATCCAACCTACTATCAGTCCTTTTACGGATGTATGCATGTATTTAATATGGATATGTTTGAACACTTGCTCATAAAACAGTCCTCACAGTAATATGAGTCCTGATTAATGCTTTCTGATGAGCGTTACACCTGGCAGTGTGTAATGCCAGAGATCCACGTGAAGGGCCTCGGCCATCTCTGCCTTCATCACGGACACGAAACGCCAGACGCTGGCTAGACTCTCCAAACCTCCGGCGGTCAGAGCCTGAGGAACAAAACCAGAAGAATACATGAAAATCAAGGTGTTTTTATATCTCTATAATGATCTCACCTCTTGAGTGAGGAACTCGGCTGCACTCACTGGACCATACTGTCTGGATGCACTGATGCATGATGGGAAACGGAGTTCACGTCTGCTGGAAGTTGAGAGAATATACATTATTATCACTTCTCACCATCCAGGCCATTTCTGCCGGATACCGGCATGTCCCACTCTACATTATTCTATTTCATATACAGCTGAAAAATGTCTGTTGAGAAGCAGTGTTGATTGATTGTAGTATTTTTACTTTATTTCTCATTTAAAATAAGTCTGAAATAAAAACTGGCCCTTTTTACCTTCTAAATACACTTTAATCTTCGTCTTCATCATAATTGAAAAGAAACAAATTCTTTCAGCAAATGCAACAACTTCTTAAGGTGTTTTTTTTGTTTCTCATTTAAAGTCAGCCTGAAATCAAAGTGGACCCTGTTTACCTTCTAAGTACACATTTATCTTTGCCATAATTTCAACAAAACTTATTTTATTTAAAAACTTGCTTAAGCATTTTTTGAATGTTTTTTTCCCCCCCTCGTTTAAATCAATCTGAAATCAGAATGGACCCTATTTACCTTCTAAATACACATTTATCTTTGCCATAATTTCAGCAAAACTAATTATTTTATTTAAGGCGGAGTATACAGGTATTGGAGAGGGGTTTATAGGTTGAGGGAGTGTATGAGGGTGTGGTCTATAGGTTGGGGGTGTGTCTTAAGGCGGAGTCTACAGGTATTGGAGAGGGGTATATATGTTGAGGGAGTGTATGAGGGTGTGGTCTATAGGTTGGGGGTGTGTCTTAAGGCGGAGTATACAGGTATTAGGTGCGTTCGACTTGAAGCACCGCTACAGACGGCAGTCAACGAGAGTAGCCGCTTGCAGTCGGGGGCGGAGTTGAAAACGGAGCCGTCAAGCCGGACACTTTCTGCTCCCGTTAGTGACGCTCGCGCGGTGTTTGCATACTCTATCACAGAGGAAGTCTTGAGTGAGGAACTCGGCTGCACTCACTGGACCGTACTGTCTGGATGCACTGATGCATGATGGGAAACGGAGTTCATGTCTGCTGGAAGTTGAGAGAATATACATTATTATCACTTCTCACCATCCAGGCCATTTCTGCCGGATACCGGCATGTCCCACTCTACATTATTCTATTTCATATACAGCTGAAAAATGTCTGTTGAGAAGCAGTGTTGATTGATTGTAGTATTTTTACTTTATTTCTCATTTAAAATAAGTCTGAAATAAAAACTGGCCCTTTTTACCTTCTAAATACACTTTAATCTTCGTCTTCATCATAATTGAAAAGAAACAAATTCTTTCAGCAAATGCAACAACTTCTTAAGGTGTTTTTTTTGTTTCTCATTTAAAGTCAGCCTGAAATCAAAGTGGACCCTGTTTACCTTCTAAATACACATTTATCTTTGCCATAATTTCAACAAAACTTATTTTATTTAAAAACTTGCTTAAGCATTTTTTGAATGTTTTTTTCCCCCCCTCGTTTAAATCAATCTGAAATCAGAATGGACCCTATTTACCTTCTAAATACACATTTATCTTTGCCATAATTTCAGCAAAACTAATTATTTTATTTAAGGCGGAGTATACAGGTATTGGAGAGGGGTTTATAGGTTGAGGGAGTGTATGAGGGTGTGGTCTATAGGTTGGGGGTGTGTCTTAAGGCGGAGTTTGGAGAGGGGTGTATAGGTTGAGGGAGTGTAGGGAGTGTTGGTCTATAGGTTGTATAGGTTGGGGGTGTGTCTTAAGGCGGAGTCTACAGGTATTGGAGAGGGGTATATATGTTGAGGGAGTGTATGAGGGTGTGGTCTATAGGTTGGGGGTGTGTCTTAAGGCGGAGTATACAGGTATTAGGTGCGTTCGACTTGAAGCACCGCTACAGACGGCAGTCAACGAGAGTAGCCGCTTGCAGTCGGGGGCGGAGTTGAAAACGGAGCCGTCAAGCCGGACACTTTCTGCTCCCGTTAGTGACGCTCGCGCGGTGTTTGCATACTCTATCACAGAGGAAGTGAATTAAATGCAATATTTGTCAAATACACAGACGTTTCAGAAACGTTTTCATGAGCAACAGAAACACTTTTTATATACTGCTTAATACAGCGCCATCTGTTCAAGAATAAAGTTCAACGTAAATATATACTATTTAAATACTAATAAAGTGGGGGTATATATGCTTTCATGATAAACGTGACTCAATATAACATTGCGACTACAGTAAAAAAGCTTTTACTGTTCTAAAAACACAGATTTATGAGCAGTATTGGATTTGAAGATGTTAGAAACACACGTCATTGTTGTCATGTGGTGAATTTGGCCAATCGTGAAACAGCTGTGTCGTCATCAGCGCTCCTGCAGTCGCTCTTGAGAAACTGCACCAGCTGAGTTAACCGGCTGCTCTTGAAACGCTATCGCTGTACTTTGATGCCACACGTGACAGTGACGTGGCGTCGGCGCCGGTTCAAGTCGGACAAAATTTCTAACCGGCATGCACTGCTTCAAGTCAGCCGCCGATCGGTCTGCGCAGTGCTGCATAGATGCATTACTTTATTACCATTGAAATGCTTTGAAGTCGACCTGATTACAAAATGAACAATCTGACATATCAAATTACAAAGCACAACATCCTTAGATAACACCGCAGTGATGAGAGAGTGCTGCGACCGTGTGAGAGCATATAGTTTGAGTTTGTGGCTAATTTTAAAGCGTCCACACATGCAGGCGTCCCAGCGGCATGCGGTCGAAGCACCTGCTTCTTTCAGTCACCTGGGTCAAGGTCACGCATGCTTACAAGGGTTTAGTGGGATGACTATCAGGCATTAGGTGTCAGTTATTCTGCCAAAAGACTAACTTGACACTGATGTATTTGGGATATAGTTCAATGTCAATGTTTTATAAGAACTTTATATGCATGTGGAAACATTTAAATAAACCGTATTTTAGTTTGGGTATGTAAACTATCTACAGCAGATGAAGACTGTATAATAAGGGTGTGTTTGGGGGCGGAGTCTGTAGGTGAATGTGGAGTCTACAGCTTTTGGGAAAGGGTTTATATGTTGAGGGAGTGTATGAGGGTGTGGTCTGTAGGTTGGGGGTGTGTCTTAAGGTGGAGTATACAGGTATTGGGCAAGGCTTTATAGGTTGAGGGAGTGTGAGGGTGTGGTCTATAAGTTTGGGGTGTGTCTTAAGGAGGAGTCTACCGGTATTGGGCAAGGCTTTATATGTTGAGGGAGTGTATGAGGGCGTGGTCTATAGGTTGGGGGTGTGTCTTAAGGAGGAGTCTACAGGTATTGGGCAAGGCTTTATATGTTGAGGGAGTGTATGAGGGTGTGGTCTATAGGGTGGGGGTGTGTCTTTAGGAGGAGTCTACAGGTATTGGGGAAGGGTTTATATGTTGAGGGAGTGTATGAGGGTGTGGTCTGTATGTTGGGGGTGTGTCTTTAGGAGGAGTCTACAGGTATTGGGGAAGGGTTTATATGTTGAGGGAGTGTATGAGGGTGTGACCTATAGGTTGGGTGTGTGTCTTAAGGTGGAGTATACAGGTATTGGGCAAGGCTTTATAGGTTGAGGGAGTGTGAGGGTGTGGTCTATAAGTTGGGGGTGTGTCTTAAGGAGGAGTCTACAGGTATTGGGCAAGGCTTTATAGGTTGAGGGAGTGTGAGGGTGTGGTCTATAAGTTTGGGGTGTGTCTTAAGGAGGAGTCTACAGGTATTGGGCAAGGCTTTATATGTTGAGGGAGTGTATGAGGGTGTGGTCTATAGGTTGGGGGTGTGTCTTAAGGTGGAGTCTTTTGTATTTGTGTGTGAGAGAGACTCACTAGGATGCTGTTGGTGTTATTCGTATCTTCCTCAGGCATGGGCATAAAAACAGCCAGAGCTACACAGTTTGTAAAGATGGTGAGGAGAATGATGATTTCAAATGGTCTGAGAGATACATTCAGGGGAAAAAACACCTGCAATAATCAGCCAACATAAAATTATTGTTTATTTGAGTGTAAAACTCTTAAAATTATAGCTATATTCCTGCAGTAATGAACAATGTGTCCGTGTGTTGATGACTGCGGGCTCAGCATGTAGTTGTGTGTGTGCGCTAGCATTCTCTGAGCTTAGCATGTCTGTATTTAGTGAGCTGGAGGACAGAGCAGCTCTTCTCTCATAATATCAGAGCACTTTTCCATTTCCACACCTCTACACACACGCTCAAGAGAGAATGAGCTCATTAACTAGCTATCATCTCATAGTTGCTTTTTTGAACACTTGGCACCTCTTATAATGAATGACTTTAAATGGTGAAGTCGGTAATTTAAGATGTTTTTTTAGTATGTTACAGAATGTAACAAGTGGTCTAATTTGTGTTTGTTTTTATTGTTGGAGATTGAAGTTGCTACTTAACCGAAGCATAACCGAGAACTCCTTTGAGATTGCTGATCTATAAAAGTTTTAAAATTTTAATGCAGGAAAACAACTATATTTTTAATTAAATTAAATTTAATTGATTTCTAATAAATGTTGCATTCATTTTATATTAGAATATATTTTATATATAATTTTTTACAACTTTTTTTTTTTTACAGCTGCTTAATATTTTTGTAGAAACATGATACACAACTTTTCAAAAGTTTAGGAAAAGTATTTAAAAAATAAATTAATACTATAATTAAAAATAAATAAAATAAAATAAATGAATACTTTTATTAATCAAGGACACATTAAATTGATCAAAAAAGTGACAGTACAGACATTTATGTTACAAAAGATTTCTACTTAAAAAATGTTGTTCTTTTGAGCTTTACTGCCTAAAGAATCCTGAAAAATTAAAACATATCACAGTTTCCTCAAAAAAGAAGCACAACTGTTTGCAACACTGATAATAAGAAATGAACAGCAAATTTCTTAAGCAGCAAATAAAATATTTTTAGACATATTTTATATTTATTATTGTACACTCTAAAAAATGCTGGGTTAAATACAACCCAGTGCTGGGTAAAATAGGGACAAACCCAGCAATTGGGCTGTTTTGACCCAGCGGCTGGGTTACTACCCAGAAGGTTGGGTTAAACATTTAACTAACCCGCTGGGTCAAAA